TCTATCTATCTATCTATCTATCTATCTATCTATCTATCTCTACCTACCTCTCTGTCTGTCAATCATCTATCTGTCTATCATCTATATCTATCTGTCTGTCTGTCTATCATCTATCACTGCCTATCTAGCACTAGCACTTAGACCACCACCACCCCACCACCCCAAATTGGCAACTTTAATATACACAATATTTGCTGTGTGAGCAAGAAGGAGACAATAAGGAGCCTTGGCGTGGCTTAGCTCAACTGTTCTGTACTAAAGTTTCTTAGTGCTGAAAGTAAAACGGAAACGGAAACTCCTCTCCTCTTCTTGTGTTTTGCATTTGGAACAGATTTCTTTTCAGGTGGGGAGCGGGAGTAGAACTCCTTAGCATCAGAGCGTGTTAATAATAATAATATAGGAAATACTAATGCTCTGATGGTCATTTCGAAAAATCCTTTCTTAGTGAGCACCTAGAAGCCAAGAGGAACATAAGCGCCAAATTTCAAGTCTGTAGGCTTTACGGTTCTGGAGATTTTGTGATGATGCGTGAGTGATATTTCACTTTTATAGAGAGAGACAGAAGACAGATGTGTGAACCCAGCTTTTGTTTCGACTCAAGAATGATTATCCTCCTTTTTCTTGGCTTTGAAATCTTAGTTTTTCTGTTGCTTCCAGAGCTTTGCCAGAGACCGAGTGGCAGCTGTCTTCGGTCGAAAGAAACAAGTAACAAATCCTGCCTTCAGTTGCTGATTCCGTTGTTGGAAACTCCCTTTTCTGATAAGGTAGGTAAAGGGTAGCTTGCCAATAGGACAGGATGGTGACATGATAGCAGCCTTCCAATATTTGAAGAGTTGCCACAGAGAAGAGGGAGTCAGCCGGTTTTCCAAAGCACATGAGGGCAGGACGATACATAACAGAGAGAAACTTATCAAAGAGACACCCAACCTAGAACAAGGAGAAATTTCCTTTTCTTTCCCTGTCTATTTTTATTTTATTTAAAAAAAAGTTAAAATACAAAACAGCAGATTTGTTCTAAAGAGACAAACAAAGGAAAAACACAAAACAAACATTTTAAAAGGGCATTAAAATGAATACATACACACATATTATCCCCCCAGTTGAATGTTGATTAATATATTACAATAATATTAGTTTCCCTCCCCTTGCGAAACAGATCCCCCCAAATTTTAAACCTTTAAACCAGGGGTCACCAACCTTTTGGATCTCAGGGATCACCGAACTCATAATTTTAAATCCCATGGACCACTAATATGAATTTTGACTGACAGTGGCTTGCTGACGGTCCCATATTCCAGAGCTGCCGTAGTCACAGGACTGGCCCTTTGGTCATCCCGGAGCAGCTGCTCCAGTCCATGGCAGGCCGGTGCACCCGGGTGGAGGAGCAGCTACTCCAGGATGACCAAAGGGCCAGTCCTCTGACTACTGCAGCTCTGGAATATGGGACCGACTTTCCCACCAACGTCAGCAAGCCACCCTGGGGTGGATTTCCCTCCCCCGCCGTTGGTCTTACCTTCCAGTTCTGGCTCACATGGCTCTACTACAAGGTAAGGTTTGTGCTCAACCGAAGGGTGGGGGCTAGCGGTGGGGCGGGCCATGTGGGCCTTGTGTTCCTGTGCACCCTGGATTAATTGCTTTTAGGAGGACATTTCTCTGCGGAGCATCAAAATTTTCTCGCGGACTGCCAATGGTCTCCGCCACACCGGTTGGCAACCACTGGACTAAAAGACCTCCAAGGTCCTTTCCAGCTCTATAAGTTTAAGTTCTAAGACTGCAAAATCAAGTTCAGTTTTTTGGACTGCAAATCCTAAAATGACCACAAGATGCCGGCAAAATGTTCTTTATATCTTAACTGTCATCTAGTAATTCTGAATTTTGCAGTTGCCATCTCCTGGTAGATAAAATGAACACTATGGCAACAATTGTGCAAGCTTTGATTATAAAAATTAAATGATCCTATCAATAGTTTTGTTACATGACCAGAAGGTGAGATTAGTTTTAAATAGCTCTGAATTCAGGGTGCAGATTAAAGAAGCAGTGGATGTAGATATCCCCATTAAAAAAGAGAATCGATTGAAGGTTAAACTTTGACGGCAAATTAATTTAACCCAATTTCTAATATATCTATATATTATATTGTAATATAATATATCTAATATATCTATATAAAGAACAGACTGGAGCCGAGACAGCCAGGATGTGATATGACCATTGTCTTTTACTTGCCTTACATTGATTGTGTTACCACATAGATGTTATGATGAATATTCTTCAAATGACTGACATCAGCTTCCTGACAAGGAGTGGTACAATAATAATGATTCATGGCTGGATGTCAAGGAGGTGGTGTTGTAATAATGATACGAGGCAAATGGGGGTACATGAACTCATCGAGCAGGGAAAAGGTGCAGTGGCCATGTTTCTTTAATTTAAGGATGCCGGATGTTCGGCAGTGAAGGCAGCCGGAAGGTGGCTATAGTAATTATGTTGTTATCCAAAGCATAACATGTATAAATACAGCTCTGGGTTGCAGCGAAACCCAGAGCTGACTTTAAACATAATTTGATCGCTGTTACCTGTTGTTGTGGTGTGGGAGATGAATAAAAACTTCACTGAAGCTACACGAGTGAGTTGATATCTTATCGTTCACCCCCTCAATATCGGACGAACAGCTGACAATATCAATTGGAATTCTTCTCCTTCCGTTTCTTTTCTTGTTAGGGCAGTGATCTATCTCTATCCTTTCCTATCTTTTTTCTGTTCTCTTTCTTTTTTCTTCTTTTTTACTGTTCTATCAGGAGCAAGGCAGAGAAGATATGAATATTCATATCCTTCTCTCATATTAATGCCTTTTTCGGGTGGGGGAGATAAGTGGCTTAGGCAAGGAAGAAGGTCAAACAACTACTGAAATCCAGAGGGTTGTTTTGGTGGCACCAAAGACATGCCAAAAAACCTGGCTCTTTGAGGACACTATATACAGCTGTATCGTACATGCAATAGCCTCAGATCGGAGTCAATTAAATTTAAATCAACTGCAGAAACAAGCAGACCAAAACAATTCCTGAGCGATTGTGCAATGCATCTAGCAGGCTTAACTTTCTCTTAACTAACTCTTAATTTTCATGACATTTCCCTGCAGATGCCCCTCTTGAGATACCTTTTTTTTTTAGCCAACTGATTTTTATTATCATTAATGATAGGGTTAATATTTGTGATTTGTCCTGGCTCTACTTATTTCTGGAATGTGGTTTCTCACACAACAGAGTGTGTCTCTATGGCAGTATTTCTCAACCTTGACACCTTTGAGGTGTGAGGATTTCAACTCCCAGAATTCCCTAGCCAGCATGTTCATCTAGGGAAGATTTGGAGTTGAAATCCACATATCTTAAAGATGACAACATTGCGAAACACTGCGTTAGAGTCTTAGTGTCCTTCTTTTTGGAAGGATTATTGTGCATCTTTTCCTATAAGATCACAAAAACACAACCATCATGAAAAAGCAAACAGCAAACTTTGCTGATTTTCTTTTCACTGCGGAAAGGAATATCCCATTATTTTCCATATCTTCCGTTCTCTGTGGGAATCTCCAGATTTAATTTCAGCTAAAGTGGTTACTTCAAGGAGATGGTTGCTGTATAGTTTTTGTTTCTAAATGTATTTAAACATTTGTTAGTAATCGAATTGTAAAAGTAGTAGGTGATGAATGATTAATTCAGGATCATTATTTAAAAACTAAACAAAGGGTCAATAGGAGATTGATTTAAACTGGCTTTTGTTCTTGTAGAATTTTATTCACGATTTAAATTGTTCATTTAAACCAGGGATCTCCAAACTTGGCAACTTTAAGACTTGTGGACTTCAACTCCCAGAATTCTTCAGCCAGCTATGCTATGCTGGCTGAGGAATTCTGGGAGTTGAAGTCCACAAGTCTTAAAGTTGTCAAGTTTGGAGACCTCTGATTTAAACTCAACCTCTGTAAAGAGTAATTATTATGATTGCAATGGATATTAAATATATTCTTTGGGAAACGTGGGGCACGGAAGTATCTCTGAAGTGTTTACATATTGAAGTTCAGAAACCGCTGACAATCTTTTCTGAGTAATATCCATTGCTATTATTTCTTTGACACGCAATGTTCTGGAGTTGATCTGTATCAGGGGTACCTTTGTGGGTTATTTGTGTGTCAAAATCTGCAAGTTGGCATGTGCAGTGATGCACAGATCAGGTGTTTGAAAGAAAAGGGAATTCAGTTTGGCAGCCTGGTGAAGAGAGCTGTGATCCAGGAGAGGTTCCTGCCAGGTTGTCCAAATTGCTTTGTCTGAATTTTATTGAACTACGTTTTTAATCAAATTAATCTCGTCAGTTGGTGTAGCTGCTCATTAAAAACTCCTGACTCCGTGCAATTCTTACTTCACAGGAAGCGGAGACAGAGAATGGAGCCCTCAAAGAAGACGACGTTTAAAAGTGAGCAAAAATCAAGGTAAATAAATGAACAAAAGGTTAAACTTGATAATAGGTGTCCTGGGAATGGAGTATGTGTGTCAAAAAATAAAATAAAAAATGGCAGTCACAACCATGCAGTTGAAGGACTGACTGTTTTTTTATGTGTGATGATGTGGGGCAGGATTTCAGGGTTTTGACCCCTCTATGGGAAGATGATTACTGATGATAATTTCACAAAGCACCTTTCCTAGGCAGAACACCTTTCTGCTCTCTTTTTTATTTGTCTCGCTACTGTCACCCTTCCATAATAATCCAATTGTTTGGCACAAGAGGATATTCCTTGAGCCTAAAAGCAGAAACCTCCTTTTTAAAAATCTTGCTTCTTAACATGTCCTTTTTCCATATAAATCAAGACTGTGCCCATTCTTTTAATCCTGTTGATTACGCCTAAAATCATTTTGCTTTGTTAAAATAAGGGCAACTTTGGCACCCTTTAAAGTTACTGTAATCTTTGTTTTTCTCCTTTTAGCTCAAGGGTAAAATTAAAATGGGAAGCTCCACCTAGTATTTGTTTCTCCAGCAAAGTTTTTCCCCATCCTAGTTGTTTTCCTTCCTTCCTTCCTTCCTTCCTTCCTTCCTTCCTTCCTTCCTTCCTTCCTTCCTTCCTTCCTTCCGTCCTTCCTCCCCTCCCTCCCTCCCTCCCTCCCTCCCTTCCTCCCTCCCTCCCTCCCAACTAGAGATGGGAAAGGCTGGTGAAAAAACACCAAAATTGGGGGGGAAATAGATTTTTTTCTGGTTTTTTCCATCTTTTTCCAAAGTTTGGGGGAAAAAATGGACGAAATGAGAAGAAAAAAAAAACAGGTTTCCCCCCACCTCATTTTTTTCCAAATGTTTTTGGGAAAACCCTGTTTTTCCCCAATTTTTCCATCCCTACCCCCACCCCCGGCGTTTCCATCTCTACTCCTAACAGCCCTGGATGGCTTGGTTAACTCCAAAAGTTATTTCCATTGTTAATTCCAGAATCTCATAATTATTTTGCAGTGTGACGTTCTGTTCCTGATAGGGGATTAGATATTTTTAATCTATAATCAAGTGACTGTCTACTTTAGAGACATAGCAGTTGTGATCCAAAAACAGAGTTTTACTGGATTTCTCTTTTAGGAAATTTTTGAAAAGCCTTATACGGAAGCAGCCCCAAGAACTCCTGCTAGTAATTGGAACCGGGGTGAGTGCTGCTGTTGCACCAGGAATTCCAGCCTTGTGTTCGTGGCGGAGTTGCATTGAAGCAGTCATTGAAGCCGCTGACCAGCTAGAAGTGTTACATCCTGGAGATGTAGCCGATTTCCGCCAGAAAGTGTCCAAAGACCGAGATTTGCTTGTGGTTGCACACGATTTAATCCGAAAGATGTCACCGGTGAGCATTTGTCAGATAAGGGATCTGAAGTGAATGTTATTCCTGCTTTGAAAGTGAAGATGTAAATAGATCTGTATCCCTGGTCAGGCTTTCCATTGTAGATCGTCCTTGACTGATGACTTAGTGACTCTTTGAAGTTAAAACCAGTGAGGGAAAGGAAACGTATGATCCAGAATCAAAATTCCTGCAGTCAGGCTCCTTCCACAGTCACAGAATTTTGGGCACATGACAGTGTGATTGCATTTACAGCCATTTGCAGTGTCCATCATAAAATTTCAAATTTTATGATGGTTTTGCTGAAAACCAGCACTTACTTCCAGTTTGTCTCTCAACCAAAAATATCCTACTTAGGCAAGTAGCTATTTTATGTTTGGACAAATAAGGGTTTCTTCTGGCCTGAGTTTAGCCAAGCAGCAAAAGTAATTCTGCAAGGGGGTTGCTATCTCCTTCCCACAGAAAAGTGTTCAGTGTCTAAGGTGCACACTTCTGAATCTTCTGCCTCCTCCCTCACTTGCCTACCTATAATTAGTGAGGGATAGATGCATGGGGTGATCCATACCCAATTGTGGGAACAGCTTTATTCTAGAAAGGCAGCTACGAAACTGACTCCAGACAAGATTACAATTTGCATAGGATTGCAATCTTTCTTACCGAAACAAAAACACTGGCGTGCTGTCAATTTTCATTTTATGGCTCGAGGGGTCTTGCAGACGCCTGCAATTATTCCATCAGTCAAATTCTAATCTAACAGGACATTAAACTGCAGCCTAGCCAATCATTAAAAACCACTAGCAGAAAATGCCCTCTAAGAATTCTCTTAAGTGCCCAGGTGAAAATAAATATTTTCAGTTCCCTCCTAAAGTAGAAAAAAAAAAGACTGTCCTAATGACATATTTTCTTGGCCCATCAATGGAAGAATCAGATTTGCATGTTGAAAGTTTCAGGGGATAAGATGATCCGAAGAGTGGAGAGTAGCCCTGAACATAGTTTTGGTCACCACAATATAAAAAAGATGTTGAGACTCTAGAAAGAATGCAGAGAAGAACAACGAAGATGATTAGGGGACTGGAGACTAAAACATATAAAGAATAGTTGCAGGAACTGGGCTTGGCTAGTCTAGTGAAGAGAAGGACCAGGGTGACATAATAGCAGTGTTCCAATATCTCGGGGGCTGCCACAGAGAAAAGGGAGTCAATCTATTCTCCAAAACAGGACAAGAAGCAATGGGTGGAAATTAATTAAGGAGAGAAGCAACCTAGAACTAAGGAGAAATTTCCTGACAGAACAATTAATCACTGGAACCACTTTCCTCCAGAAGTTGTGGATGCTCCAACACTGGAAGTTTTTAAGAAGAGATTGGACAACCATTTGTCTAAAGTGGTGTAGGGTTTCCTGCCTAGGCAGGAGGTTGGACTAGAAGACCTCCAAGGTCCCTTCCAACTCTGTTATTCTATAACTTCTATAATTCATGTCCAGTGTGGAAATGTTTTGCAGCTCCAGACATCATCCAAAGATGTACATCATCATTCTAAGATGTACATCATTCGATTTCCCTGAAGCTGTTCTGTTTCCTTCTGCAGCGCACAGGGGATGCTAAGCCCAACTTTTTCCAGGACTGTTTGATGGAGGTGTTTGACAACTTGGACCAACACATTCAGCATCCTGCTCTCCTCCTGTCCATCCTCCAACTAATGGAACGGGGCACAATGGTACTCACCACCAACTATGACAACTTACTTGAGATCTTTGGGCAACAGCAGCATAAAGCTATGGAATCGCTTGACCTGAAAGATAAAGACAAGGTATGGTGTCCCTAATAAATACAGGTGTGAGCTTCTGTTTGAAAATGTGAAAGGTTGGCCTCTCTCAGATTTTGTCAAAATGGATAAGGACAAAGATGTGAAGAGGTAAAAATGGCAACTCAAAGGTGCAATCCGATCTGTGCTGTTCTAATGTGCATCATAGTAACAGCTGCCAGTTTTACTTTTTTTATATATAAAAATTTTATTTGGGCTTTCACAAAACATAATACAAGTGAAATTTCTTTTTTTGAGAATAGCATGGTCCCGGGTTATCACTTCTCCACACAGACACAAATTCAATTTCATATTCATCTTTGTATTCTAATCCATATCTTACTACTATTTTAACATTTTCTCAACAGTTTTTTCCTTCCCTTAGTTTTCTCAATCTTACTTTTAATTATCTCATTCCTTTCTAAATTCATATATATATTCTAAGTTTCAATACCTTTCTAGTCATCATATTTATACTTTTGTCTGTCCTGTTTCAATTTCATATTTTCTTTTCTCATTAAACAAAATTTTCTCCTGTAGTTACTAATTGGAGTATGACACCTTTGTATCTTTTAATTTTTATCAATTCAACTCTTACTTAAACTTCAGTTTATGCCTTTACAATTATAACATTCAATATAACACATAACTTCCAGTCGAATTCTGCTTGGTACATTCTTAAAATATGCACTAAGTTCTTAAAGAGAAAATATACAGTATATATAACAATAATAAATAAAATACTTATTCTATTCCAATTCAGCTCTATCATTAATGTTAGTTATAATCTTTGACATCTTTAACATTCCTTTTCAATAGGATATCATACTTCTAGGAACACTTACAATATTTCCATAATTTTTTCATGTTTCTTTCATATTCCTCTTCACTTAAATTTTTATAACACATTTAATTAAAATGTTCCCCTCCTTTCCTAATTTCATTCTCTTTATTTCATTATTTATTAAACATTACATTACATTACAATGAGTATTTTATCTATCATTTTAATCACATTTATTTCTTATTTTCAAAGTTCATTTCTATTTCTAATATAACAATACTATCTTATGTACCCTTGCAGAATCCCCCTTTCAACTAAGTTTTCACCCATTATCTCTGTGTCTTGTGCGTTTTTCCTGTTTATGTCCTGGTTCTGTCCTTTATAATTTCTTTTCCTTTCCCTCTTCTCCCTCTTCTTCTCCCTTCCCTTTTTGACCCCTTCTATCTCTAATTCTGATTCTCTCTTCTGTTTCTTCCTCATGTTATAATTACTTTTCAAACGATTCTTTTTTGGGGTTGTTTTTTCGGATCTTAAATTTTTCACTCTCTTTCCCCCCCTTTCCTTTCTTTTCCCCACATAGAAATACTTGGTCATTGAAGATGGCTTCTTCTTTGTCCCGCCCTTCTTGTTCTACAGGCATTTCTTGTTGTTTCTCATAGTTCAGGATCTCTATTTCTAAAAATTGAAATACGAAGCCAAAAGAACCTCTTCCTTCTTCCTTCTTCCTTTCTGTTTTTTAAGTTCCATTCTCAATTCTTCCAAGAGTGATACCATTTTAAAAACTTTTAAACAACCACCCTATTAATTTTAGTCCTTTAGATCCAACAGACAAAAATCCAAAAATCACCAAGTAATCCAAATAATCCAAAGCTGTTTCTTCTTGCTTCTTTTTTCCACTTCCTCTTCCTGGGGTTCTCTTATCTTGTTACCAAGTTTCAGTTAAAATGTATCTTTTAGGAATCTTGTTAAAATTTCACTCTTAATTCCTTTCACTTCCACGTGGTCTCCTCCCTTTTTCCAGATCCCACCCTTTTGTTTTTTCCCTTCTTTTAAAAGTTTTTGAGAATCCAGAGATCTTTATTATCCCTTTGACATTTTATTTTCAGCTTAAATACCTGTTACTGTCAAAGTGGATTTTTGCCAATTTCTTCCTTAAATCTCTTAGTTGTCACTATAGGAAAGAAAAGAAAAAAAACCAAATCCTTTCCCTTCCTCTCTCATTCACCACTTCAAAGTCTTCTTTGGAAACAATGTTGTTCTTTATAATTCAAATTCTAGGGTACCTTGTATTGTTGTTTTTCCAGTTCAACCCGATCAGCCAAAACCTTTCTCTTCTTATCTTCCTCCTGCACATTCTTTTCCGGTCGAGTTCTTTTCTTGAGGTGGCCATTTCTGACCACCGCTACAACCGCCTTTGGGAAAGGGAGTAATGGCCAGCTGGGGAGGAGAGATGCGGCTCTCCTTGACCCTGCTGGCAGTCTCCCCACTCTTCACCACCTCTACGGGGTGGCTTAGCTCCAAAACCAGCCGGCTTGGCGCGCTCCAGCGGCGAGCACAGATTGAAACTACGCACGATCGCAGATTTCAGTCTGTCACCGAAGAAGCTCAAACTGGATCTGATCCAGTTTTACTTTTTTGATAGTACCCTGTGGGCACCTGGTATTTTGGGTAGAACCAACTTGGGGAAAAAGGTAGGTTATGTTCTTTGCCATATTCCTTTTTCCCCCATAGCAGCAGTGTCTTTCCAGCGTGGCGGCCTGACATGGAGGGGCGTGAGTGCAAACGGAGCATAGTGTGTGTGAACACTGGCTCACTGCTCATGTGAGTGGAGCTTCATGTACCGGCCCATTGTGAGACCCGGTTTCAAACAGGCCGCGGGCTGCTAGTCAGCCACGGCTCAGGGTTTGGGGATCCCTGGCTTATTGTCTTCAAAAAAAGATATATTCTTCATTACACAATGTTCTTTCTTTTTTAAGGCGTGTCATTTACTAAATAACTATATAATTGTTTTTCTTAATGCCCTTTTAATGTCATTGGTTGAAAGTCTTTACAAATCTTAATTTTTAAGCAGCTAGAGAAGGTTGTTTCTTTGAAGATCCAAGTGTTGGAAATGGAGATACCATCAATAAGATGGTAAAGAACATTGCTCCTTATTTAGGCAGTGCATGGCTAGCTGGGGAATTCTGAGAGTTCAAGTCCTCTCCTGTTAAAGTTGCTAAATTTGAGAAACACTGTCCTAATGTTGCACTCTACTACCTGGGCATCCACAGTGAGGAGGTCCTCATGAGGACCATAATATCATCTTACAAATTGCATAAATTGACCTTTGAATGACAATGTCATGAAATATAGGACTTCATTGTGGTTTCTATATGAAGCAACCAAGCAAGGCCTTAACAACTCTGCCATCTAAATGTATGAATATTTTGTTCCGTTGGGGCTTGGTCTCTTTCTGCAAGTTGTGTTACTGAACAACTGGTCTCTCCTCAGGTTCTCCAGTGGGCAAAAGGACACCTCAAATATGGTGTCCTTCATATTCATGGTTTGTATACTGATCCCTGCGGAATGGTGCTGGATCCCTCAGGATATCAGGAAGTAACCCAAGACCCCGAAGTAATGGTATGTGGATCCAAAGGCCAGACAGGCTTTTTTGTTGAGGAGCTGTGGTGTTGCAGTGGTTAGAATCCAGTATTGCAGTCTAACTTTGCCGATTGCCATCAGTTCGATCGTGACCAGCTCAAAGTTGACTTTCATCCTTCCGATGTCGGAAAAATGAGAGCCCAGATTGTTGCAGGCAATATGCTGATGTTGTAAAACTCTCAGAGTGATATAGAAGTCCAAGTACTAATACTATTGCTATTGTTATTGTTGAACTATGCAGGCTTATAGATCAGCAGTGCCTCAAAACTACCCTGAGAATTGGAAATAGCTGATGGACTGCATTTATGCATCCTCTTAGGACAATGATCCATTTATGTAACCTTGTTGCTTGTATCCTTATGATTTGTTTTAATTTGTTTTACATTGTTATTTGTATGTCTTTTGGTGTTGTTCAGTTGTATGTTGTGAAAGAGCACCTTATTTCATTGTTCTCAGGTTTCTGAGTACAATGACAATACATTTATCTTATCTTATTTATATTGACTGTTTCCTAGTATGATTTGATTGCTTATTGTACCCTATGACTATTATTGTTATAACTTATGATTCTTGACTCTTGACAATTGTATCTTTTCTTTTATGTATACTGAGAGCATTTCCACCAAGACAAATTCCTTGTGTGTCCAATCACACTTGGCCAATAAAGTGTTCTGTTCTGTTCTATTCTATTCTTATTCTTATTCTTTTCTGTTCTGTTCTATTCTGACACAAACAAGTTGGGTCATGAAACCTGAGTTAAAGCTTTACGTTCACTGCAGTTGCTGTGGAGCAGATTCATACACTGAGAAGCATTTGGCTGACATGGGAGAACTTGTGGATCTACTTTCACAGCTTCCTAGAAATCAGGGTGGGATAGACTGACTCCTCAGTGAGCTGTCCCTGAGCTTAACTCAGTAGAGAGATCTTAGCTAAAGCCTCCTCAGCCTAAGATTACTGTATGCCTTGCACTTTGCCAACTTATCTCAAATGAGGTCAGCATCCACAGTTCATGACACATTTAGTTTTAATAACTGCTTGGTTTTTTTTATTATTATTTATAGGAAGCACTACAGAACCTATACCGGAGGAAATCTTTTTTGTTTGTGGGCTGTGGGGAGACCCTGCGTGATCAAATCTTTCAAGCTCTCTTTCTGTACACGGTTAAAAACAAAGTGGAACTAGAACATTATATGTTGGTGCGGAAAGAAAATGAAGACCAGTTCTTTAAATTGCAGGCCGATATGCTTGTGCATGGCATAAAAGTCGTATCCTATGGGGATTGCTTTGAACATTTCCCAGGGTACCTCCAGGATCTCACGGCACAGATCTGTAAACAAAGAAGTCCAGGTGATGTATGAAAAGATCTCTGGGCTACCGTTCTGCATGCTTGTGCGACTTTAAAATATATTTTAACCTTAACCTTTAATTATGGGATGGAGTTTATTTGATTGACTGACTGTTGTTGCCAAGGCAGGAGGGAGGGATAGTTTTTTGTTGCTTTTATATTGGGTTTTTATTTTTGTAAGCCGCCTGGAGTCACTGAGAATGGGTTGGCTGTCTATATAAATGTTCTTAAAGAAAATGTTGTGAAATAAATAAAATGCTACTTAGTTGAAAAATTGGGAGATTGCATCGATACAAATTCCTTATAAAATAAGGATGTCATGTATCTACGCAGCTCCTCCATTTTATGTTCTTTGATCATTGTCAACTTAGAAATGAGTTTTTCAACTAACGTTGATTATATCAATGCCTAATTTTAAAGTAAAGATGCAATGGGTACAACGCACATAATAGGCAAAGCTTCGATTACGCTGTGGCTGCCAACATCTTGATTTTTTTGAGCAGATCTGCTTTGATTCACATATTAAACACATTAACATATTAAACACAAGCCAACCATTCTGTGGTACCCAAAGTCTTACAAATCTCTATTGCTTAAAATGTTGTCTTGGGTCAAAGTATACATTGCAGTATATTATTTGTTTACATTTAGATCCACTTTTGGAAGGGAGAGAGAAGGAAAAAGGGGAGGGGAGGAAGGAAGGAAAGGAAGGAAGGAAGGACGACTGGCATCACAAAGGAGAAATGCTAAAATTTAATTATTCTCCTCATTGCATTCTATTGTTCCAAGAGTGTCTCTTTGGGGTTGTTGGTGCTGAGATTGGTTGCTCTTAGCTTTTCTCTTTCAGCACTGATGTTGTTATCTAATTTGGTAATTAAATGTCTGTAAGAAAATAATCAAGCTCAAAAAGCACCAAGGACCTATATTTCAACCTGAACTACAAACATTCTATCAACTTCTGTGCCTTTCCTTGCTATGGGAAGTGTTACTACAATAAAACAGAATTAAGTTATTAATGAAACTGAAAACACAAGATGTATATATGGTTTACTGTTATTTTTTTAAAAAAAATCCATAAAGGCATATTTTAAACAATTGTATCCAGGTTAATTCATTGCTTAATTTTCTTCTTTTTTCCAGATGCAGACAGGGTGGATAGCACAACAGTTTGGGGTATATATATTTCACATATTTCTTCAAATTTCAAATGATTTCAAATCTCTTGGTATGGGGCTTTAGACATGTCCACATCCCCCTCTTGCAATTTGCTCTTAAAAACCTGAATTTGATTATACGACTTCATTGACTGCAATAGAACTTATTTTGTTCTGTAGCAGAAGTGAAAATTTGCTTACAATGGATGCTTAGCAATAAGGGGGAGGCTGTGTTTCAATGGTTGTTTTATGTCTTTAATGATTTTAATTTAGTAGTAGATTTTGTAAGCTGCCCAGAACTTGCTGGAATGGGTGGCTATAATAAATTTAATTAAGTACATGCATATATACATACATAAAACATGCAGCATGGAGCTGCTTGTTCCAGACAGTTTTTCCGCTATATTAGGGACTGATCTGGGCCTTTTGGAGTTGGTTCTTAAGTCTCCAGAAGAATATTGCCTTTTACTGAAGTACAAAGTCCCTTTTGCCCCCCTTCCAATTCAAAACAAACAAGCAAATAACTTCTTAAAGGATGAGGCTATCCTGAACAGAGGGGAAAAGAGGAAGAATTCAACTATTTTTAAAAAACCTCATTCATGGATAAGTATTAAAGTAGAATTAGTTTATCTGGCTGCGTTTCCTGTCTAGTCGACTTGGTAAGGCTGACATCAGTCTTTCAAGTATGAAAGTATACATACTTATTAGCATTGGGGTTCGATTAGTTACCAAAATACCAACAGAGTATCCGTTTGTAAAGGCAGAAGAAGACCTAGAATTTAAAGCCAGGAGGGAAGATCAAAGAACATTGATATCTGTATATAAACAAATCTACAACTTCGTTCTTGGTTATAACAAAGCAATTCTACTGATTTTGTCTGTGAGCTTTTTCTTAGATAAGGCAAGTACGTACTAATTAAGAGAGACAAAATGTAAAGCTATATGACTCCCAATGATCCTGCTGCTAATTAAGGGTGTACAATCAGTTTGGGGGAAGGTGTATTTCAAAAAAAATTCTCCAGGAGTGTCAGCAGTGGGGTGTCAAAATATGTGAGATGATGGTTATAGACCTGCCATTTTGCAGATTTGGATGTTCCCCATGGACACCACTGGTTTTCACCTCAAGTAAAATGAAGCTTTGTTAACATTATACCGGCTTTGGTGCTGAATTGACTACCAAAAAAACCCACACCACCATTTGGTGATATTTTTGACTCTTTGAGTCTCTGTTCTACTCTTGTGGATAGGGTAAGAATTACATATCACAAGTCATTAATGTTGGTAACGCTTCTTCCTGCAGGGCCATCATGTGCAGATTGCACAAAAAGAAGGTTAGGAGAGAGTGGGAATGACCGAGCCAAGAAGGCTAGGCACCTGAAGGATGGTAATTATTGTTCAGTATTCTTGTACATTTGTATTCTTGAACTGTTGTAAGTCAAAGACTGCCTGCACTGGGCAGCCAGAAAGGCATCTGAATGTATTTGGAAAGCCTTCTCTGAGTTTACTTTTGGGAGGGCAGGGCAGCTTTACACCTTAGCCTTATCCATACTGAGCTGTGGGGATCGTTGTATTATGTCCTTTGTAGCATGTGTGAGGTTTCCTCAAGGGTTGTATTGCCATGGTCCAAAATTCATTAGTATTTCTCACACCAACAGGAGTCATCATAATGGTGTGAGAAATATCAAAGTGATTTAGCCATCTGTGCAAAACAATTAAGATCAGCCCAATATTTATTGATATATATTGAGGTGGGAACAGCGGAGTGGGGTGCAGTTTCATGTAAATGTTAAAACATCAGCACTGGAGACAAGAGAGAACTCTGGAGTGGTCATCATAGGTCAAGATCTTGAATGAGTAGATCTTCTCCACGCTACCTTCTGACATGTCAGGAACAGCCAGAACTATTGCGCAACAGTGACATGCTGAAAGAATGGACACTGTGTGTACACAGAGAAAAAACACATTAAAAAAACTTAAGTAGTGAATGATTGTTTTGAAAGTCCAATTAATTCTTTTTTAGATTTTGCAATTCTCTGCAAGAATTGCATAATGTTGACCTACTTACTGATTGTTCTGTTTGGCTTTTGGGTCATTTTGCAATTAACGTCTTTCTTCCTTTTGTAAATCATGAGTGGCGTGAATTGCTTCATGCCTTGCTTTGTACAAAAAAGAAAACAATGCACTGTGTTCTAGTCTGAGGGTCACTGTTAAGGGGTGGAGACATTTTTAAGATTTCAGTGTTCCTTATTCCATTCTAATAGGAAAAAAACCTGATTTCAGGAGCACTCAGTAGTCAGAGATGACAGGGGGTGGAACAAATTTTGAGCCCTGCACATCTAATTCACTAAATTTGACTTGGTTTAACTGAGAGCACTCCTTTCTCCTATGGTTATGCATGATAAACTATTTTAAATCATGTGGGCCGAGAGGAACAAAACTGACTTTTATGTTGTTTTAAACAGATCCCGCTGAAGGTGGTGTCCTTCTGTGACCATACCAGACTGCTCCTCAAGAAACAACTCCTTACTTTGGCCATTTGCATCTGCTGGGAGTCAAATAACGGATAGGTGGAGACTTCTTACAAAGTCTGCTTTGGAGGGGGGGATCCATATCATATCCAATAATTCAAATTTCATAGCTGCTCTTGAGGAAGAACAGATTTCTAAATATCTCAGGGATGAAGTCTTGGAAAAGAGGGAGCTATGGCCTATGAAGTGGCATTTAGTTTGTAACTTTGGACTCCTCTCATCTTATTTCAGTCCATGCACTGTAAGTTAAAGCACAGGAAGCCTTTTCCTTCCCTCAAAGGGCTACATGACACCTTGTGAGGAAAAAGGCACCCAATCTGAGTAACATTCCATGTGTCTAGGCAAAGAACTCTTCAAGTTTTCCTAGCATAGTACTGGGAGTTCTCATGCAGGCAGTTGCAAAAGATCAGTGACGAAATGCTAGTCGTGTTTCTGAATCTTAGTAACTTGAAGATGTGTGGACTTCAACTCCCAGAATTCTTCAGTTAGCATGGTGGGAGGAATTCTGGGACAAAGTCCCCATACAGTATCTTAAAGTTGCCAAGGTTGAGAAATGCTGTGCTAATGTAATAAAGTTTATACATTCTGTAAATTCTTGAAGAAAAAAACTTGAACAAAATGTGAAATTTGATGTGCGTTAATTTCTTTGTTTTTGAATAAATAAATTCATATATAATTCAGAGATGTTCTGTTGTGCATCTATTAGATCTGAAGAAACCAACAATTAAAAGTTGATGAACTGATATAAAGCATAATGCATCCTTTACCTATGCAAGATGTTTCTCAGTGCCACATAATAAAAATTATGTGTCTCAGTGTCATATAATAAACATTAAACTTATGTTACTATGAAATTAGATGGTAAATTTCATTCCAACTTGCAATAAAGTTTAGTTCTCCATATAGAAAAGACTCATAGCAGATAGGAAACTTGATATCTGAAAGCTAGAATTGTTTTATTTAATAATCTTCAAATACAAGTGTATACAGTGGACAAACTTCATTCTATATCAAGAACTACTAATTGAAATCTCCAATGAGTATGTCACACTGTCTATAGATATTCATGTGAAACTAGATTAAGGTTCCCTTGAAATGCCCCCAAATGGCAGTTTATTCTATAGTGACCAGAATGATAAACAGTGACATACATGCAGATATTTCTAATACCATCCCAAATCCCAGATCAAATAAAAAATGCACAACTAAAAGACAAAACTAATACACAAAAGCAGCCAAAGCTTTATAGCCTTCGATACTGCCCTCCCCTATATAATACTTAGTCTTAATCCTACTGCTTTGATCTATCTGATAGTTTTATATGTGTTGCTGTTGGAAATATTTATGTATATAACATCTTTCAAGTTAATGATAAAGCTACAAGAAGAAACAGATTAGAAAGTCTTGTTTTGTTCAATCCCCTCTTTTTTTAAATTACATGTACTACACTATTCCTTTGTTTGAATTTCTAGTTTGGGTCTTGGGTACTGCAGATATGAACAATCAACGCAAAAAAAGTACACTTGGCTGATATAATGCAGAAAGTTTACCAGTTCTACATAAGTATTTCATGGTATTGTTTTAAACTGAAGTAAGTGATTTAGTAACTGCACATTTAACCAGTGCAACAGGAATCATATAACTTTATCTAGAACTATAACTTAGTGAAACCAACAGGCATTAAATCAGAGAGCTCTTCTTCCATTTCTGCCTTTCATTCTCCTCATTCTGGATATCGAGTAAGATCAAGGGTCAGTATCTGACTAAACATAAAGTCATCTTGCTGAAAAGGGAAGAGAGATTGGGCACACATTATCTTATTGTAATGATACAGGGATAGTTTTCAAAATCATTAAAAATTTCATTTAATTGAAGGGTTTCTCTTTTTCATCTCTGAAATAAGTTGGGGAAAGGCATTACTTACCTTGAAGCAGATGCCAATTAAAGCATCTGCTTTAGAATAGAATTCTTCCTTCAAAGAAATAACTATAATTTGAAAGCTTTCTTCTGATTGCTGCCTAATAAAGCTTGATACCTTTTTGGAGGAAAAAAGAGAAGGCTATGAAAATTGCTAGTTATGTGAAATACAGTATGATTCAGAAGGAAATTTACTTTATAAATTGGTAAATAAGCTGTTTGAAAAAAATCAGATTATCAAACTATGGTATAAGAGGTTTATATTAGCTGAAAATGCACTATATTTTATTTATACACACACACTCTTCATTATACAGTATTTATGATTTAAATATGTTAAATTTAGAAAAGAGGAAGAATGCACCATTATAAAAATAACTTATTTCTGAGTTACTAAAATTTATTTATTTTTATAAGTAACTGAGTGCCATAAACTCCAAAATATGTAATTGACATTAGGGAAAAAAAATGCAAGATTATGCAGAATAACATTAACATTCAATTGGGAGCTCTATCCAAAATAAAAGCAATTCCTCCTCAGAAGGGAGAGGAACGGGGGATTGAGAATTGGGAAGGCATGCATCCAGGCCCCTAAAGATGGGGGCCATTCAGAACCCACTGGGGCAGTTAGATGTTAGTGGAGGAAGGCAGTCCTGAGAGGAAAGGGACAATTCTTTACAGCCACCTTGCCACCTGCCAACTCACCGCAGACAATTCCACACTGGATAACTCAATGCAATAAATGTTACCCGCCACTGTTTCTTTGAGATTATTTCCATTTTTGTCAATGTCTTGTACAGCATAAGGAAGATGACCTTGATGCAGAGAGGCAGGCTAGGATACAATTCTAATCCTACTTTAGACATGAAAACAAGCTGGGTAACTTTGAACCAATCCCTCTCTCTAATCCCAACACACCTCACAGAGGAGTTGTGATGGGAGATTAATTCATTATATTCCCCACCTTGAGTTATACAAATAAACATTGGCTATAGATACAATAAACAGAGAACTGGATGACTTACTTTTCCAATGTTTGTGTTATCGAGAGCTGCATCAACTTCATCTAAAACAAAAAAGGGAGCAGGCCTAAAACTGAAACAACAAAGTAAACAGAATTAAACGATTTATTAAAAATTAGTGAGAGGTCAATTCCTGTGAACTGAAGGCTGAAGGCTGCCACCTTTATAATTCAAAAGCAAACAAAGAACCTAACTTTGTAGGACAAAGCCTTGATTACAGTACATGGGTAACTGACTCACAAATTCTTAAAAATATGTGGTCTAATTACCAGATATTGAAGGCTTATTTTTGCCTGAGTTCGGGGGAAAATGTTTTCAAGACATTAGTCATTATCCTCTGAACTGGATTTGGAAATCAACGATGCGTACACAGTTAGAATCAGTTTGAAGACTGAGTGCTCCTCCAATTATTGTCAAGTTTATCAGGTTTAAAATTTGTGATATGGTTTGGAAAAGGCAGAAACAGTAGCAAGATCCAGCTTGTTACCTGTGCATCGCAAACACAAGAGCCAGAGCCGCAACAGACTTTTCTCCACCTGACAGGTTGTCCATTGGCATAAATCGTTTCCCAGGAGCTACACAGTTATAGCCGATGCCTCCCAAGTAAGGTTCTTCGGGATTCTCTGGACTAAGGAAGGCCTACAAGACACAATATTTTTTCATTCAGTTCAGAAGTAGAGGATGTTAAGCTCAGTTTTATGATGATCCCATTCTTTGCTAGGGGCAGCAGAGAGTGTTTCAAAAGGTGGTTGGGCTGCTACTTCACAGTGTCATTGTTGCCTTGAGTTCCTCCAGATCTTCTACCACGGGAGATCTGAAGTTTGGTGTTTGGGATTTATTGCAACCAGAATTCTGAGGACATCTAATTTTATCTATCCATATAAATTCACAAAGCTGTTTGGTGTCAGAATGGCAAGAGATCTGAAGCTTAAGTGAGATATAATAAAAAGGGATTCAACCTGCACTAGATAGATCTGCTTTCTTAAGGATCACAATAACGGCTTGTACTTTTAAAAGTATGTTCTGGAATAATGAATTACTGATTGAAGTTTGCCTCCTCCCACATACACCACTCCATACTTTGCCCCGGCCAGATGCAATCCTTCAAAGTGCTCCTACCAAGAGAAAAACATCTCTGGTAACAACTCTCAGTGACGCAATGCTTTCCATTCTTCAAACTTACCTGCTGTTCCCCCCTCAAGGCCACGAGACTTCTTATTTGTTTTTCCAGATATTAAAAGACCTCTTAGGAAAGTTTTAATGGATTTTGAGGTCTTCATGTTTTAAAGTTTTAAGATCTCTCAATGTTTTATGGAACTGTTTAACCTGTAATTTGTTGTTCCATTCTCTAACTACACTGTATTGTTTATACCTCACTTTAGCAACTTTCATGTATACTGCCCAGTATGGAAATGGCATACATAAATTAATATCAGGTTCTTAATAGTGATGTATGATACACATATCTATTGTCAAATGTCTAGTTTTAATTAATCAATATTAATGAAATAATAACCTGAGCGCTGTTGTTTCTACAAAGTCTCTTATAGATTTGATCAATAGCAACTGACACATGTTCAAAACATTGGCTGAATCTCTTGTATCTCTTTTTTTTCACTTTTTCAAATTCTTGCCTACAAAATCTGGCTTTCTTCCTATGGACTTCAAATGCTATGAAAGATTAAACGGAATAAAATGTAACAGTTAAGCATTAGAACTGATAATAGTAAATATATTACTTCACCTTATCAGCAAACACAAAAATAACTATCATTAAAAATATGTGTAATAGAGTACTCTAAAATTTAAACATACATTCTATTTTAATTTATAGGCAACATTTTAATGAAGGAAAAAAATAACCCTCAAGTGGCAATATTTGGTTCTGATTTTTTGTCCTTCCTTCAAAATAACTTATCTCCCTGAAAAGAATATATTATTTACTGTAACAATTCTCTTTATTTAGCAGTATTACAATACAGCCGTGAACACAGTGGGAAATAACAAAGTCATACACATTTGTGTCCTACTGCGCATACCAGCACTACGGCTTATTGTGCTGCTATTCTTGAGCTTTCTCAATCATTTGAAGTCTTCAAATGTACAAGCGTTTAGGTATAGAGTACATATGCTGATCTATATTTATAAACATACATGTATACATACAAAATTGAACTAAACTGGAACCCAAATCTGATTCACTGGCAAAAGTCCAAATTAGAGATAAAACAAAGTGAAGTGCTAGAAAAGAAAAGTGCCTCCATTCCACAAATAATTAATGAAAAAGAGTTGAGCATTAATTACCATTGACAGATTCTTGGAATCTGCCTGTAACAGCATGAAACTTCTCCAGTGCTTTGAGATTTGGTTCTGTTGTTTTTAACAAAACATTTTCTTCACATTCCACTTCTTGCTGAAGTTTTTCTAAGTGAGTCCCAATCTCTTTGTCAGATTGCAATTCCTAATTGTAAAATGAAACAATTAGTGATGACAACAACCAAGAAATATTTCTGAACCATTAGAAGGACTGATTAGAAGTCTCAAGAGGTAAACAGTAAGCGGAGTAGATCTATGAACAGCTATAGCATTAAACAATATAATAAAATAATATAGAATTTTAAAGAACACAAATTATAGCATGGGTGTTGAAATGCATCTTTTGAAAGTCATACTCCATTATTTGATTACTCATTATATCCTGGGAATTTCTGCAGGGTCGGAAAAAAATGT